TTTTCTTTCTAATTTTCTAAGATTTTGATTAATGAATTGACTTGGATAAGTTCTAGTTATGTTTCTAGGCTTAAACTGATTAAAACCTCATGATTTAGGGTTTAAACGACGTATCTTAGGGGTTAAACGAAATAGGAAAAGACCAAAAGACCCCTAAATTAACTGCTGTCGGAGTGATCGACGGTTTGGACTGACGGGCCGTCAATCAATCGACGGACCGTCGATTGGGTCCGTAAGGTCGAGTCTGCCCGGTAGGGCTTCACTAAAACAAGCATAACTTTTTACTCGGAGGTCGGGAATTTAACAAACTCGATGGCGTTGGAAAGATAATTCAATTATATATCTGATCATAGGTAATGGGACACATAATTAATTTTGTGCTAAGAGTTATGACCATATGAAGTTGACTTAACCACAATTTTCATCTAACTGGCTGCTGACCCTCATCTACGGTCAGACCTACGGACCGTGGATCGAATGACGGTCCGTGCTGATCGACCGTGGTTTGTGTCAGAGGATGGGTGAGGGAAGTCTCGATCCACGGACACAGACCACGGACCGTGGTTTGATCTACGGACCGTGGGTCTGTCCGTGAGTCGGGACTTAGCCAATTTTCTGAGCTTGGCTGGGGAGGGGTTGCAGTGGTGAACCACGGACCACCAGCACGGGCCGTGGTCTGACCTACGGTCCATGGGTTGCACCTGCAACTTCTCAAAATCTGCATTTTTGGTCTGTTTCGAATACGGGGTGTTACAACTCCCCCGTTCATTTTTATTTGACATTGTTTGACTTGACACAGTCGTTAAAAAAAGAATTATTGATATAAGTATTTTACCATATCATCCCTACTAATTAATGTTTAGTATTAAGTCCTGAAAAATGATATAAAGAATAATATTTAATGCTAGGGGTAAAAAATGAAAAAAAATAATTGTCTTTTTCTTGATATTTCAAAAGTGACCAGTAAAAATAAAAAATCTATTTTAGGAATTAGTGACAAATAAAAGGGAACATAAAGAGTATTAAGGACCATCTATTTTAGTAATGACGACATATAAATAGGAGCGGAAGGAATATCATATTTGATACTCTCTCCATTCCTATTTACAAATCGTCCATACTAAGAGCCTGTGTTGACATTCCTCCTAAATATTGCTTATTTTCATAAGTATTTTTTAAAAATAGCTTTTCAGGCTAGTGCTTTTTAAAAAAAATTAATTGTGTTTGGCTAATAATTCATTTAAAAAGTGTTTTTTATAAGCAAATTGTGTTTGACTAATATTTTTTAATAAGTGTTTGTGAGAGTCAAATTACGATTAAGGGTAAATATTAATGTACTTATAATATTAAGATTATTTTATAGAGAGAAACTAGTTTAAACATCTATTACAAAAAAATAAATTAAACTTTTATTTTTATTAAGTTAAAATGTTCATATTAAAAATAGATGTTCATTAATACGATGTTTGATAGGAAGATAGAAAATATATTATTCACATATAAAATTAATACGATGTTTGATTGACAATTTAGAATTATCTATAATTAATACATGTATAAATTAGGAAAAAAACTATGTATTATTTTATACACATTTTAAAAATAAAATTATTAATACATTAATAACTAATTTTTACCTAACTAAATACATATTTAAAACAATATATTAATTCATTTATAATTAATCTTCTAATTCATTTCCAAACCGGTTACAAGTAAGTGACGGCATGATGGATATGTCAATCGCCAGAAGTTGAACCAAATTCCGATGCCACCTTATAGAAGTAGTAATATTTTATAGTCTACATATCTTTTAATATTTTAATTTTTAACATTATTAAATAATTTTTTTCTAATTTATAATTAAATTAGACCAAGTCACTAAATTGAGACTGCCCACTTCCATTATTATTGATCCATTTTTGAATTTGCTATTATCTTTAAAATGTAAATTTTTAGTTGAATTTATTGTTATAAAAAAGTTATTATTGGAAATTATGAAGTAGAGAAAAAAAATCAATAAATTTAGTTAAATAACAAAAAATTTGTTAGGTTTTAAATATATTGTTAGTTTTTTTAACATAACTAAATAGCAATTAGTATACTCTATAGTACTTTTCGAATCATTTAGTTATTTCAAAATTACTTATTACGAAATAAATTATTTCTATGTGTATATGAGATAACTTATTACTTAATATCTCCCATCAAATACAAAATAAAATGACTCTACGTTTTATAAATTATTCTTTACAACAAGGACTCCTAAGTATTAAGTTGATAAAATATAAATACTTTAAAGGGTGTTTGAGATATTAACTCAAATTTTTTAAAAAAAAAACCAATTAGTCCTAAACATTGTTTTGATCGTCCTCTCTTTAAACTGACAAATGTTTTCATTCTTCTGTTTAATTGTTGAGTGTGTGTCAGCAATTACTGTAAAATCCAAGAATAGATTGCTCTCAGTTTCAATTAGTAAAACTTTCTTGAAAATAGGACTCTTCAACTAAAATCTCTCTTTTCTTTACCCCATTTCTCTCTTCAATGCTTAATGTTATAGCAGAGTAAAAGTTTTCAGTTTTATGTTGAATAAGGTACCAAGTAAAGCTGTTTTTCTTTATGATTTTTGTGAACATCTACAGTTGATCAAAACAACATTCATGGGTTTTAGGTTAATGGGTGCCACAATTCTTGAAAATCTGTAATTTTTGTTATGACTTCTTGGGATTTTTTAGAAGTTTTTGTTATGATTCTTGGGGTTTCCTTAGATTTTTTGTTATGATTCTTGGGATTTCTTTAAAAGTTTTTGTTATGATTCTTGGGGTTTCTTTAGATTTTTTGTTATGATTCTTGGGGTTTCTTTAGATTTTTTAGTTATGATTCTTGGGGTTTCTTTAGAATTTTTTGTTATGAGTTCTTGGGGTTACTTTAGAATAAGCTGATTTTTGTTCTTGGTTTTGATTTTCTTTATCTGCCAATGTATATACTATTTCTGCAAAAAAAATTACAGCAAGAATGGGTGGGTATAGCTGCATTTTAGTCCTTTTGTTTATATGAACTGAACAAGGGGCTTTTTCTTGATTACAGTGAAGTGGGCATCTGGTATAAATGGTAAAGAAGAGGGGTAAGACGACTTTGAACAAAACAGAAATTGCAGAAGATTGGTGCTTTGAATGTAAAGATGGAGGAAAGCTCATGATTTGTGATTATGGGTAAATTCTTCTTCCTAAAAAAATTAAAATAAATCAATTTTATTTTGGAACAAACGAAATTCTCAAGCTGGTCTTGAATATAAAAATTATATTTTTGTTTTCTGGATGAAAACGTGGGACATTGTTTTGAAACTGCAATTATTAATTTATCTGGCTTGAAAAGGACGCATTTTCCAATTTAGGTCAAAATTGCCCCTCTTCTTGGAATCCTAGGTTCTTGGTCATCTGTTATTTGTTATGTCTTGTTTTTTTTTTTGAAATTGTGCATTAGCTATTAGCCGACTCTTCAGTATTTCTCCATTATTAAAAAAAAATAAAAAAATATATATATATATATTTTTTCTTGTTTGATAAACCAAAAAAATTCTTGGAAAAAATCAATGTTGCTTGCAAACATTTCTGTTTTGTAATGTCATGTTATAAACAGGTTGGTTCTTTCAGTTTTCTGCTCTACTTCACTTATATAAAAGCACAAATAAATCTATAATTCCTTGGATGCTAGAGTGGATTGTGATTCTTTAAACTCATGCTCTACTTGCTGGTCATTCATCTTTTGAGATGAGCACTGCTTTTCTTTTTATATAATTTCATGTTAAAAGCTTCAGAAAATCAATGATACAAGCAGTATATGGCCTAGAAATTAGCTAGGTAGTCTTTGTTTTGGCTAGCCTTTTCTCTTTTTGCTTGGTACTCTGCAATGGTATTCATTAGGCGTTCCAGTTAATTGTCTCTGGTCTAATATGGTACAAAAATTGAAACCAACCTCTCTCTCTAATGAACAACTGAGGTCATGTGCAATTGAGAAAGTGAAAGTGCAGACAAAATAAATTGTGCATTTCCGAGAAACGCTGGCACACTACTTATGCTACTAAAGCACTTCTGTGTTTTAATCAAGTAATGATTTGAAAGCCCTCTAATTTAACAAATGCAAGTAATCTTCACTACAAAGTGAAATTCAGTTTGGTGGGGTTCATGCATTCCTGTCACGATTGCAGTTTCTTTCCTTTCATTTTTGAAATTCAAAGGATTGAAAGTAGTTGACTGTGCCTGATTACCTTTGCTGCTGATGTTCACCCTGTGACTTGGTGATTCTTTCTCTTCATGGACTTCTACTAATAATATATTTTTGACTTTGCAGGGACTGTTTGAAAGCTTATCACCCTGCATGTGTGGGGAAAGATGACTCAGTCTTGACAAGTGATATCCATTGGATATGTGGCAAGCATCTTAATTTATCCTTCTTCAAGCAAATTTAATATTTCTGAATTTTATCTTTCTCCTTTTGTTTTGTCTGAGTGGTTTTTTTCCTTTTGCTAGTTTATTGATTTTGACTAACCAAAGTTGAGCATGAAAGAACATAGTTTATATTGAGCGAAAAAGGCAATTGAATTTTGAGTTTCTGTTATATTGAGATTTTTTTGAAATAATCACTGGAAAATAAACTGTCTTTGCCATTTCTACATGTATAAATAAATTTTTATAAGAACTTGTAGATACAAGTTTGAATTTCATCACTTATCCACAACCTAAATTCTCCAGGGATAGGTTCCTTTAGCGGACGTGTGTTGTATGCTTAACAAACCTTGATAAGAATATGATTAATACATATTAGCCAAGAGAATATAAAGGGCTTAAATAGTACTATACTGCAATTATTGTAGTCATGTTTTTCTTGATTGTTGGAGTTTGATTTAGAAAACAAAATCTGCTTCTCTATTACAGAACAATATTGGAATAAATTTAATTGCTTAGTTTGGCTCCAAGTTGTTACTGCACCACTTTTTGGAATGACAACCACAATGTTAGAGGATCCGTAGTCTGTGGTAACTTTTGCTGAAATACATAAGTACATCTTTCACTTAAAGACATTAGATTAAAAGGGTAGTCTGGTGCATGAAGCTTCCCGCGTTCACACAGGCTCCAGGGAAGGCCACACTCCAAAGGCTGTAATGTAGATTGCATTCAAATATTTGAAGTTTGAGTACTTATTTATTGTTGGCGTATTTTGTGTTGTTAGTTTCACTGGTCATGTGTTGCTTACTTGCTTTTCATTAAATAGAATAAAAATTGTTGTGCAAAAAGTAATATCAGTTTTACTGTGTTCCAGGATGGCATACATGCTTAGTTTGCCAGAAAAGTTCAAATTATCAATGTTATTGTTGTGATAGAGCTGTATGCTCTCGCTGCATTGGTCGTATCAATTTTGTCCTTCTTAAAGGGAAGCATGGATTCTGCAATAACTGCCTAAAGCTTGCATTGCTTGTGGAAGAAGACAGAAATATTGATTCTGATGGGGTATGCATGATTATTATGGTTACTCTGAAACTGTAATTTTTTGGTTCAGTATTAACTAGTTACTATACTATTTTGGAAATGTTTATTGTCACACCCGAAGAGAACTTGTCATGGAAACTATTAGCTAAACTAGCCCAGGCAAACAGCTTGAATGTTAATAGCATGCGCCTTAGGCTTCTTTCACATTTTGTGGCACGACCCATAGGTGATAGGCCGTTGGCCACTGCACAGTAAAGGAGCAGGTATTGACTGTTTCTGTGCTATTCTGACACATGTATCATTTATTATCCAGATCGAAACCTCTTTTTTGAGATTAACTTGTCTTGAACATGCTTCCTGGAGAGCAATCCAACAAAAACGGATGATCTTGGTAGGCATTTTGGTCTTCCAAATAAGTTTCCAGGGCCAAAGATCAGTAATCTAGCAATATGTGAGATGGATATTATCACGATTGATCTTGTTGTGTCACAAACTTGATTAACAGCTTATCTTCCTCTGTATGAGCATGTGAGATTACAATTTGTGTGTTTATCACTATTAATTGGCAATATTCTCTTATTTGCTTTATTTTTCCTCTAGTTGATGAGTGATCTATTCCATTTCTCATATGAATTATTGTTGCTTTCCAGGAAAGTGTAGACCTCAGAGATCGGGAAACATACGAGGGCCTTTTCAAGGAGTATTACGAGATAGTAAAAGAAAAAGAAGGATTTGACAAGAATAGTCTCCTTGCTGGTAAGGCTAAACTAAATAAGGAGAAGATTTGCCAAATTAGCTCTGATTCAGATAAACGTAGTGAAGAAGAGAACGAACACAGTGAAGAAGAGGATGAGCAGATTTCTTCAGACAATGGAGATTTCAGTGACGGAGAACCTCAGAAGAAAAGGCTTAAAAAGAAAAGATGTACACAGCAGAAAACAAAGATGCAAAGAAGTGTCAATTCAAAGAAAAAAGTATTTGTTGGATGGGGATCAAAAGCTCTTATTGACTTTCTTCAGTTTATTGGTCAAGATACCAGAGAAAAATTATCCCAATATGATGTCACATCAATAGTAACCAAATATATAAAAGAACATAACCTAATCCATCCAGTTAAAAAGAGAAGAATCCTTTGTGATGTTCAGTTACAAGCTGTTTTTGGGAAGAAAGTGGTAAACAGACACAGAATATTTAGCCTCCTTGAAAGCCATTTTCTTGAAAATGAGGAGCAATTACAAAAGGATGAGCTTGATCATGATCTTGAAGACGATGACACAGAAATTTTGGTGGCTCCTAAAACTGAGAAAAAGGTTGAACAAAAGAAGATATCCTCAATTTGGTATTCAACTGCAGCACAAAGTCAATATGCAGCCTTGATTCCTGAAAATATCAAACTCGTTTACCTGAAGAGGAGCTTGGTGCAGGAGATGATCAAGCAGCCCGAGTTCATTGAAACCAAGATTATAGGAAGTTTTGTTCGGCTCAAGTTAGATCCACGTGACTATGAGCAGCGTAACTCTCATCAGCTTGTGCAAATTGCAGGTTGTTTTAACAAATGACTTACCTTCTTTGATTTGTCTTGAAATAGTTGCTAAAATCCCTCGGTGGACTGCTGTGAATATGTCTGAATGCTGCATTATGCTCATGTCTTCCATACGGAGATTTTGGATAATTGGACATTAACTAGCCAGAACACCTGTTTTTTCTCTAACATAAATGATTTATGGTTTCCACAATCAACTTTGTTTACACTTCTTGTTGTTAACTTGACATTGATAAAATGTTCAAGCACATGAAATAAAAGTTGAAACTCGAAACTCTTCTCATCTTTCCATGAGCTGAATTTCCTTTGGTCATTGCTTTGTTGCTAATATTGAGAGAAGAGTTCATTCTTAACACCCTCTATATTTTGTTTGAAGTATATAAACCTTCTTTACAATTTATTATACTTTGTCTGCCCATGTTGTATGGTACTATTACTATCTGGGTAGTCAAATTGTTTCTTTCTTTGACTACCATATGTTAAAAGAAGTTGATTAGATTTTACCAAAGTAATTGTGATTAGCAGTAATTAATATGTAGTTTTCAAATATGTTATTATATTTTAAATATTGTAAAAGCATCGATGCCAGAATTCACGTAGAGAATCAGATGAGTTGATTCCAGATCATGCCACTATTTTCGTGACGGATGATGTTCTTTGCTAAAAACAAGTTACTCTATTTAACCCAAAGAAGAAAAGTAGAAGACCTAGTTTGACTATCACCAAAGGTTGAGAGAGAAAATTATAAATAGGTTACTATAATATAAATCAACTAGGATTTTAATAAATTGGAAGTAGAAATTTGATATGTAAATAGAGTGGAATAGATCGATGAAAAGATATAACGTGATGAAATAAGATAAATCAATCTATTAAAGAAGTGCAGTAAATTTGGAAGGGAAAAAAGCAAGCAAGTCAAGTAAATGGGATGGAAAGAGTGAGGCAATGAACATAATCTTTTTCTCATCTTCCAAGTCTTATTATAGATTATTATCTTCCATTGAAATCTTAATCTTGAGCACCAATTTTGCTTTCAAACTGACATCTTTCTTGTTTAAGCGAGTGTTTCAGGGATCAAGCTCAGATCAAGTGATAAGTGCAACAGCGAGACTTTAATTCAAGTTTCAAATATGGCCAGAGATGTTAGCTTGACCATGCTTTCAGATGATGAGTTTTGTAAGGTAACCTACTTCATATTTTGAGGTATCTGCTATGGAATCTCTACTTATAATGTCAGCTATTTATATAGCAAGCGGCTGTGAATATTTTCGTATGCCTGCTCAGAAGTCTACTGTACTGCTCATTTTGAGGAGGCAGATATACACAACACTTGTATGATCATTCTACCAATACATTCATTATACAGATATTAAATGTTTTTAACTAGAGTCTTGCCATGTACAAATATGTGTCGCTCTTCTAATTTAGTGTTAGATTCCAAACTGCTAAAAGCAGACTGCAAAAAAGTTGTTACTTTTGGATGTTGGTTATTTTCTAGGCCATATTTGTTTTGATGATTTTAAAAGATCAAAGGTTTTTTATTTTTTTGAGAAGTTGTTATCATTTTCTGTCTCAGATTTTGTATTAGTAGCATCATAATAGATTTCACCCTTGGAAAAGATCCCTATTGCAGCCGATGATTAGGAAGTTTGGCATGTGGAATAGTTCTCCCTTTCTATTTCAAAATGGAAGTAAATAGTTTTTTAACCCGTCTTCAAGTTTTAATCTGCATCACAGAAATCGCAACTTGTTACGTTTTTTAGTTACAGTACAACAACAATGTCAACAAACCCAGTGCAATCCCTATGCGGGGTTTAGGGAAGGTAAAGTGTACCCGGACCTTACCCCTGCATGTTTTCTAGTTACGGTAAAAACCAAATTCAGTGACTGAAGAGTGGATTTATGTGGTTACCAATGTTCTCAACTTTGTGAAAGCTGAGGTTGTTCTGCGTGATCATAAAATTGGAAAGAATTTAAAATATCACAAGCGATAAATGTTTGATAGCATTCTAGAACTGCTGGACTGTCACGTGTAATTGTAGTACTCATATTATTGGACAGTCTTTTGAGCAACTGTTGGTTTTACATTAATGGGAATTGCTTATCCAAAAAATAAACCTTATAGGAGGTTTCCTACTGATTATTCCCTTTCCCATTGACTTTTCAGTTGAGAATTCTGAGGATCATTTTGAGTATTTCTTGAACTGAGGGAAAAACTGATTGAACGTTTCTGGTAGTTTATATCTTAACGGAAGCTAGTATTTTGTTTCTTCAGAATACAACGTAGCATCTCACCCTTAGTTGATTTGAAGCTGTCACATGCTAAGTTGCTTGGACTCTCCAAAAATGTTGCAACACTCGTGTCAGATCCTTCAAAAATACACTGTTTTTGGAGGATCCGACACACACCGGTCGACATTTTTGAAGCGTTCGAGCAACATAGGTCACATGTATTCCTCTATACTTGAGAAGCATCTTAGCTGTGTGGAACTACCCAGTGACTAAGCTCTACCAAGAAGCTTTTGTGGTCAACCCTTCAATTCAATGTTTTTGACATTTTTCTCTGTTTTTCAGGAAGAATGCGATGATCTGAAGGAGAAGGTGAAAGCGGGTCTGCTTGAAAAGCTTACAATTGTAAGGTTTTCTTGCTTGCAGTTTGACATAACCATTATGTTGAAACATAGTCAAGATATTATTGTATGACTGAAAGCTCTAATTTGTTTAACTATCGTTTCCAGCATATAAATGACTTGTCCAAAAAGTGCTCTCTCTTTCCACTCTGCTCAGTGCAAGTTCTGGTTACCTCTAAGACAACCCAATTTCTTTTTCATTATGGATTTGAGTGGGAGCTAGTTTCTTCAGTCTCAGATCTTCAGGCAGAATGCTGCTCGCAAACATACCATGTGCTCGCTTCCCTCAGAGTGACTATCTTTCAAATACCCCTCTGTTAGGAAGGAACTATTAGAACCTTGATAGATCTTGGCTGGGTTAGTGGCACCCAGTTCTTAACCAGTTTTGAAAAAGACTTAGATATAGGGAGCTTACTGGAGTGGCCAAGTGAATTCTCAATCTTCTTCTTCTTCTAATCCTTGTCCCTTATCATTTTAGGTTGTTGATGTAAAATGAGTCGCTGTAATGCGAATAGGTTGATAATTTAGTTTCTCCCGTCCTGGTCTCTATCACTAATTATTCCGTCACTTGATAGTGTTCCATTCTAAATAAAAAGCATGCATCACTGAAACCCATTGTCTTCTTTCTTTTTTAGCAAACTCTACATCACCACCTCAAAAAAAGTGTTTTCCCATCATCTACATGTTACATGAATATTCTTTTTCTCCAAAAGGATAAGACAACTTTAGAATTGCATTAGTGGGAAGGTCGCAAGATAGAGTATAACTGGACATTGAATGGGTTCATGTAGATCACTACTGCAGATCAACCAAACAACATGATTCAATAGTGGGTTACGTGGATCAGTACATTTCTTTCCTAGTGTGGGAGATAATGAGGGAATCTTCCAGCTTACCAGTCTGACACAGTGCTTTTGTAGTTCTCATTTTACTATATGGAGAGTCCTTTTAATTTGTACCACTTCATTTAAAATCCTAAGCTACTAGAAAGGGAATACCTTTATCTAATTTGCATTTGCTTTTTCATCCTCCTTACTTGTGGGCATGGATATATCCCTGAACCACGGGAGTTCTTAGTGATGGGTTGTGGTGAGGCTCAAATCGAAAAATAAATTCTTGCTCTGATACCATTTTGAATTGTGTGTCACCTCTATTAAATGTTTGAGCTATTAGAAATCTGCTACTTTTATTTTAGTCTTCTAATTTCTGAAAAGATATAAGTTCAATTCCTCAAGTTTTTCAGTTATAGATAGTTATAGATTCAGCTGAATTCCAAATCCGTTTAGTACTTAACTTTGACTCCTATTTGCAGGTGGAGCTTGAACAGAAAGCTAAAATCCTTCACGAGGACATCACAAAGCATGTATGGTTTCAATCTTACTAAGTTACTTTTAAAGTTGGATAATTTATTTCCTTAGGAACTCCTTGTTGATTTGGATTGTTTGTAGCTCTATGAATTTATACTCCATTTGCATGATAAAATGATTTCAGCTTCCATTTCGGTAACATGAAAATACTAGCGACCTGTTTATTTTTATCTTGAATCAATATATTTGCGAAACATCTAAATATTTGGTGACACCTTCACTTTTAATGTCAGAGGATTGCTCGAGAGCTGGAATTGTTGCAAAAACTCATTGATCGAGCAAATGAGAAAGGATGGAGACATGAATATCCTTTTTTCCTTAATATTTTTTGGGTGACTAAATTTATCGTATTTGACAGAACGCCAAACCAGTCCCAAGGATGGAAAATTTAGCACAGATTTGGAATCAAGCTTGTGTGTTTGGTCACCAGCATTACTTTCTATGATCACCAATTTCATCCTAACCCCTATGTTCCTCTTTTATCATCTCATCCTTCATGCCCTAATTTTGTCTGTGTGTACTGTTGTCTCGCTGTTCTTCATCCTGGTCCATTCTGCAAAGAAAGGAAAGTGTTTCCTTAACCCCTTGGTGTTTACTCTTTTCCAGCATCTGGAGAAAAGAAAGCTCCTACAGCAAGCTTCGTACCTGTCATTTGTGCTGCAGAATATTCCTGCAGTGATTCCAGAGGAAGTAGAGCTTGAATCTCTAGATAGGAATGACAATCAGATGCACCAATGCTCAGATGAGACAACCCCTATGAAACAGAATATTCTTGGAACGACTCCCGAGAAAGTAGAGCTTGAACCTCTGTCTAAGGGCGAGAAGGATGACAATCAGATGCATCAATGTGCAGATGAGACAACTCCTACTGTAGCTATCAAATGTGAACCGAAAGATGGAGCACCTTGCTCAGGTAGTTAGTAGATGTAATGTAGCTTTGTGCAACTTCCGTCTTCTCCTCCCTTGGTCAAATTGGCGTTGTCAAGCCTTTCCTGGAGAACTTAGTAGCCCATCTCTAACGGGAGGAAAGATGCTTCTATCAGTTGCAGAGATCTAGAAGCACTTCTGCAACTTTCTCTCTTCCCTAGCGCTCTTTTTTTTGACTTTTTTCAAAGGGCAATGAAGGCCAGGTCTTACCAGTTAAGACTCTCTATCGGACCGCTCTAGTTGTTGTAAGAAAAACCAGGTGTAGTCATTTTGAAGTTGCATTTGCTCTTTCCCTATATCTGATTCATGAGAATGGATCAGGGGTTATATGGTGTATTCTTTTCAACTTAATGCAGCTTATCTCCCTTTTCCAGAATTTCTCGTCTGAACTTTGCATGTCTTCCCTGGATGAAATATCCAAACTAAATGTTATCTATATTTACAGTCTTTGAACTTGCTTGTCTTCCCTTTGTGCACACGTTGGGTGGTTTCATGTAGACGTTACTGGGAAAATCATCGACATGTTGATATAAACGAACTTCTCAGAGTGGTATCCTTCTCTCAGAACAGTACACCCCACGTTATGTTTCATTCTGAAGAAGGAAAAAAGTGCTAGTACTGTATTAGGCTCTGGGAGAAGGAAGCAAATCTTCTTAGGAGGATTCTGTTACATCTAAAGATGAGCCTACAACAACAGACATATCACGTGTAATCCTACGAAGTGGGGTTTGAAGATGTTAAAGTGTATGCAAACCTTATTTAGAGAGACGGTTTAAATAGACCCTCGGCTGAAGAATAAATAGTACAAGAAGTAACTAAAGTGAATGTGAGTCTACATCATCTAAAAATTCTCTATGAAAAGTTACAATTCATCTTGATACTTCAATATCATTGAAATCCAACAGCTTTGATTGTAATAGCTAAATTTACTATTGCTTCGTTCATTAGGTTAAATTTATACCTTCAATAACATCATATAATACACTGACCACGGATGAAACTATACCAATTTTCTACGATTAAGTAATTTAATAACGGAGAAGGGCCTAAAATGCCCCTCAAGTATTTGAATTGGTACAAAATTACCCTCCATCCACCTTTCGGTCCTAAAATATCCCTGACGTCCACTTTTCTGCTCAAAAATACCCTTATGTCTAACAGATCATACTCATTAGGTGGATGAAGGGTAATATTGTACCAAATCTCATAGTTTAAGGACATTTTAGGCCCTTTTCCGTTAAAATAATTTGAAATTACTTAATATATAAGTTCACATGATTGACTTGATTTTGAATTTCATAGTAAATTTAAAATTATAAAAAGGTTAGGCATCTACTCTCTACACTCCTCCTTCCCGGACCCTTCACTTCCTATCTCTTCCAAAAAAAAATATTTGGATCTTGTCCACCATTTTTTTAAATTTTTTGACAAACAAGAGAGATAAAAAAGGAGGAAAATAACGATGCATTCATATAGAAATAATTAGTTCAATAAAAGATGACTTAATTAAACAAATATTACATTTTTCTTTCTTGTGTACCCAAAATTAAAAATATAAGGATAAAAATACTCATTTCTCTTATCCTCACCCTCATCCCATCATGACAATAATACTAATTAAAAGAATATAAATATGTGAGTTCATTTCAAGTTTGAGTCCCGGATATCCTAATTAAGAATAAAAGATTACAAAAAGGAATAAAAGAGAAAATGAACAAGACATTTGGATAATTGAGAGAAAAATTTATATTAATGAAAATAATAATTTTTTTAGATGGACAATCAGTCGGGGCAAGTATGAATTTTAGTTGGATCCCCATTTATGAGTTGGGTTATGTTATAATAAAGGGAAAATTTTCAAAATGTCAATATTTTAACATTTAATAGGATCCATTGTCAACACTTTCAATATTTAGTAAAAATGTCAAAAAATAGTTTATTATGTATCTTATTTAAGTTTTCATTATTTGTTTTAATAGAAAGAATACAATTGTTAAATAACAGAAAGGAGAAATTTATGGGAGATAATAATTTTAAAAAGGAACAATCCCTTAAAAGTCTCATCAGTTACAAAAATCAAAATTGAATACTTCATCGACAACCCCATTGTTGATCAATTTTCTCATTATCGATATTCAAGATTCAATTGAAAATACTCAATCTCTAATCAATTTATTTTGATTAAAATCTAATTTTTTCTGTTTGGTAAGATAGATTTGAACAAAATAGGACAAAATTAAAAAAAATTGTTGACAAGCAGCTTTGGAGAATGATTTTTCTGCTAGAAGTTCGATAAAATTGATGGAATACAAATTGGATCATGTATTAGTTAATTGCTTCATCCTTAATCTGTTTCTAATTGATTATAATTTTGAATTTTTTTACATAATTGTAAATTGTATGTATTATGAACAATGTATGAACAATTAGTTTTGGTGGATTCGTTGAATTTTTTTGCTTGTTGAATACGAAAATAATAATGGATTGTTTGAAGACATGTTTTTTCATTGGTTGTTTGTTTTTAAATTTTGAATCAAATTGTATCCCTACGAAAAATAAATTGGAGCAGGTACAATTTTTTATGACAATTGTACTGTATTTTCATTTATTTTTTTGGTTATTTGTTTTCTGTTTGTTGAACTACATTGCATCTTAGAAACCACATCACATAAATACAAATTTATACCAATGTAACTTATAATCCACACCAGACAAATACAATAATTATTATGATCTAATGAATACACAAAATATGCCATACTGAATAGAATTTGAAAATATCATCACTGTTTGTTTAAAATGAATACAAATGTATAAAGTTAATATGTATCTTAACTTGACTGAATACAAACAACACTCTTGCAATGTCCATAACTAGAAAATGATACACATAGCATAATGAATACAAACACATGTAAATACAGTAACTTGTAAAGCTCATAACACAATTACAACAAATATGCCATAATGAATACAAAACAATCAAATAATAAGGAGCGAGTACAATCTGAAATATCATCACTATTTGTTTTAAAGAAATACAAATGTATAAGTTAATATGTATCTTTTACTTAATTGGATACAAACAACACTCTTACAATGTCCATAACTAGAAAATGATATACAGAGCATAGTGAATACAAAAACCTATAAGTACAGTAACTTATAAAATCACACAACACAAATACAACAAATATACCATGATGAATACAAAACCATCCAATAAGAATTCATTAATACAATTTGGTATAGCATCATTATCTAAACTATAAAAATATCCTTAATTTACTGAATACATACCAATGTACATATCTAGAAAATGGTGATTCCAAATATGTGGTATTTTATCAAAACTAACAAAATATCCACAACAATATTTCGATCGTCTCTCTTCCATCATTTTAGCAGCGGATCCTACATTATTCACTATTTCTTGAGTAATATGTAGATTAAATGATGGAAAATTGCTAGAAAATTGTTGATTAAGTTGGATACCTCTAGTAATTCTCTTAAATTCTGCCATTGGAGAGTGATTTAGAGTTTATCAAACCCTAAACGCTATTTCAACTACAAACAACAATTTTGAACGATTTAAACAAGGGAAAAAGGACAAATATACCCCCGAACTTTCGAAAATGGTATGTCAATACCATTCGTCATACTTTTCGTTCATCAAAGCCCTTGCCGTCCAATAATTAGTACACATTTACCCCTCCCACTAACGGAGCACTTATTGTGTACACGTGGCGCAATCCTACGCCACAATCCGAGTTGACCAATTTTTTAACCCAAATTTTAAAACCTACCCATAACCCATTTAACCCATCCGATTTACCCACAAATAAACTCTCTAAAATCCTAAAGAAAAATGAAAATTCTTATTGAATTCATCAAGACCCTGATAGTGTCCGTATGAACATTAACATCATTTTTAATCTTTTTCTCATTTTAATAATCCACATACGACACCACCGGCAATGGGCGGTGGAGGTGGCGGTGGAGGCCGATACCCACCCCATCTGTAATTACTGTGAGGATTATTCTAATTTTGATAGATTACAGATCTAGTATCATACTGGACTGACTGAAATTAAAATGGTAATTCAAATTGGAAAGAGGAGTTAGTAAAGGATAAGGGTTTCGGGAAGGGGAAGGTGTTGTAGAAGCTACAGGTAAGGAGTAGGTTGGGTGGGGAGGTGGTGGGGGAGGGAAGGAAAGGGCGGAGCAATAGTAGAAGACGACGGCGGCAGCAACGGAGGAGGAGGGTGGTGGAGGTGATGATTTTTGATGCTTTTTTACTCCATGAAATTCCCATTTTTTCTTCATTGCAGGAACCAGAGGAACAGTAGGAGATGAATTTTGAAGAAAGCAACAGAAGAATTAGAGAAGAAGAATTATAGAAAAGAATAATGAAAAATGTGGGACCCACGTTAAGGAAAAGTGATTAGTATGTTAAGTTGTTGAAAAAATAATTTCAAAAATTAAGTTTTACAAAAACAATTGATTAATTAATAGGAGTATTACAATATTTTTTTTTATTATAATCATATTTTTTAAAACACGTATAAAGCTTAACATAAATAAATAAACTTTAGGATTTTTCTTTAGGATTTTAAAGAGTTTATTTGTGGGTAAATTAGGTGGGTTAATAAAAAATTGGTCAACCGGGTTGTGGCATAGGATTGCGACACGTGTACACAATCAGTGCTCCGTTAGTGGGAGGGGTAAATGTGTACTGATTATTGGACGGCAAGGGCTTTGATGGACGAAAAGTATGACGAAGGATATTGACATACCATTTTCAAAAGTTCGGGGGTATATTTGTCCTTTTTCCCTTTAAACAAAAATAAAATCATAAAAAAAATCTTAAAAAATGGATAAAGATGCATACCATAATCAAAGGGATTGTGTGAATATCTTATAAAATATATTTTCCAATTTCTGAAAGAAAAAAAAACAAACAAGAAGGAACATAGAGAGGCGGGCTTTGAAATGGAGAAGAATTGGAAGATGAAAATATGAGAGAGAGAAAATATTCACTTTTTTTTTAAAACATATGTGAGAGAATTAATTGAAAAATGTGTAATTAAGGTGAGATAAAATAGGAAGTAAATTAG